ATAATTTGAACTTTAACTAAGAATAACTTAAAACTAAGTACAGTTTTAGTAGTGTTCGTTGATAATTTGAACCTTAACTAAAAAAAACTACTATTGTTATAAATAACACATTCACTTGAACTAAACTATGCATGCCTATATAAATATATTTACACATGGCTTGTATATATCGTATATATACATATATATTATTCATACCTTCGGTGTATAGGACGCACGCAGATTCTGACATCAAATTTTGGGGTAAAAAAGTGCGTCTTATACACCGAAAAATACGGTACTATAAATATTGTTAATCTTTATCCAAGCTAACAGACTTACATGAAGAATAATTTTTGTAAAAGACAGGCTTCTCTGTAATTTCAATTTCTGCAACTTCCACATAGATTAAAAACCAGGACTGCTCACTCTACAACCAAGTGGTTTACCAACTGAGATAATTTAGGATTGGCACACTAGCAAATTTCTAATAAGGCCCTCCCTTTTTTTAAAACTAACTCCATCTATCATTCTTCTATTATCCCATACTGGGTGCCAGATTTTTTTGTGGTAAATTCAGTTACTAATTCCTTGGCTCAGATATGAACCCGACTTCTTGCACACCAGGTGAATGCTTAATCAACTGATCTAAAGAATTAAACCTCTAGTATTTGCTAGTAAGACACTTTTCAATAACTTTAACATCACTAACAAAACCCTAAACTGCCAATTTTTTTTGTTAAGAATAAATTTAAACAAAACTAAAAAATGTTAGGGTATGAAAACTATTCAAAACAGAGATTTTACAGCAATAACTATACTGCATTTTCAAGAGATACGTGTTAAGCTAACTTAATCCTTTATTAATGAGTATTTACATTAAAACAAACTCTTTATTCGAGGTTAACCATCTATCTATAGCCATCATCAATATTATTATTATAACCTTTATAATAAGATTCTTAAGAGTCACAAATAGATGGTTAAATCAACTTGAAAACTTAATGGAAACAAGCTCAAGTATTTAATAAAACTCAACTACAGTTGAAATTTATGGAAACAAACATTTAAGTACACATGAATCACAAACAATGAGTAATATTTAATTGTATGGTGAATTTATTAATTGTACAAAACATTATTTCATGAAATATATAGTGAATATATTGTACAATTCTTTAGTATTTTATATGCAAGTCCTTTGTTTTACGTAGAACACTAGACTTCACTTCCATTTTGCCACAGTTTCCTAATGTGCATTGTGGAATATTGTTCAAACATTCTGCACTGCTCCCCAAATTTGTTTGATCACCTTATGAACAACACCTCAATTTTTACACAAGTCCATATAAAATTTCATGACATTACAATCCGGTGCAGGCCAAGCCATGGTTATTCAGTGAGTGTTACATCAGCCTCTTTACAGTCAAAGATATCATTTTACCACATTTGCTGTACGTTACGATCATTGTCTTACTAGAAGATGAAGCCTCACAAAATGGGAAATGATCCTGAGGAAATGGCATGATGGATGGAATTTACCTGAACTTATCAGCAGTCAGAACACAGTTCATTTAAATGCAGCACCAAACATATACTCATCCCCACCCTGTTTCATTGTGGATGTTGTATATTTACTACTAGCTGGAGTACCCGTGTCCAACAGATGGGTAAAATAAAAACTTGTTTGTAACAAAGGATATGAAATTGTATTTCTGATTTTTTTTCTTAACATAATAAACATGATAAGTGCAATAAAAATACGTAAAAGTACCAGTACTGAAAAGAAAGGCATATTCAATAATCAAAAGACATAATCAATGTAAAAAGAATAAAAAAATTGTCAAACTAAAAAAGAAAAAAAATTAACTGATATAAATTGAAAAAAAAAACCACCAAGTGAATATGAAACAAAACTCATAAAAAATAAATGAAAATTAACCACAATAAATGGAAAACTAAACAGAAAAGAATGAAATGGAACCAGTGATTACAGAAATACCAAAAGAAGTGTTGTGAATATCACAAACATATAACAATACTGACATATAAAAACAAAATCAATTACTGCTATAGATTGAATGAAGAAAATCAACTGAAAAGTTAAAACTTACAATGAAGAGTAAATTGTGCAATATGTCTCCAATTTTCTCTCTAAAATATGCAAGTAACAAAAAACTTCCATTGTGATGTATGTTTCCACTTAATAGTACAGAAAAAACAGATACAAAACTGAGGTAATAAAGTTATTTTATTCACATTTAATAGGTTTTGACAAGAAGCAATAAGCTTCGAAACAACATATCAAATGGTAGGATGTAGTTAACATGTTCCAGGTGTAGACCTGAAACAACAATAACAGGTTAGCATGCACGTAGTACTTTAACTCCACCTCACCCAGCTAAGACAATTTGACACATCTGCTGGATGATTGTTTTATTGCATGAATGAAGTAATTTGACACTTCAAAATAACGTTCTACTTATTATATAGCTTCTTCAAATAAAATACATTTGAAAATTTATATGAATCTTCAGCTTTAAAAATTTAATATTGTTCATTGTGATTTTTTTTATAAAACAAAAGTTTTACCTTTCCTGTAGATTTTAATTACTGATTTTTATGCCTTCCTACATTCTTGTAAAACTTTCCTTTTATTTTATTTTATAAAACTGTATATCTTATCTTTGTTAGGCTTGAAAAGCACCACATGCAGTTCCACTATGTTCACAATCACAGTCATACAATAAAAGTAACTTTTTTCAGATTGTTAATCAGAAAGTTTCGTATACATAATACGTTTTAACCAGTTTCATATTAATTTACATACATACAGACTCAAAATCAGAGGTGTGTAAAAATAGCATTTAAAATAGCATCTTTTGTTTCCTTACAAGTCAATGCCCGAGAATCGTTTGATCCAGCCCAACTGATAAGTTCTGGTATTGAATGAAAGCTTCTTGGTCAGCAACTTGTGGGAGGCAAAAGACAGATCTGAAATGCTATTCTTAAACACCTCAGAATTTGAGCTAAAATAGATACATTAAAAAGAATGTTGAAAAATCATCTGCAGTTAATTTGATTTTTATGTAAATTTTGATAAGAGTAAAATGTGAATATAATATTATCAATGAACCAGTAGTTTGTAGTATCACAGATGCATATATTCATGTAAGCATATTTGTTTAACAGCTTAACAAAACTGCATCACACTGTATGATGTTTAATAACATACATATTTTTTCTTTCTGGGTCAAGGAAATCAAGCTTTTCTTGGTGGGAAAATCCTTAGCTTTATGATTGCAGCTAAAGTTAAAACCTATAGATTTTGCATTACATAGCACTGACAGTTTAGATTGCAAAAATTGACTTGTGGAGATTATATATGGGCCATCTTAAAGACCACTGGTGAAAATGGAATTATAACATAATTTTGTCTCTTAACTTAAAGGGTATAGAATTTCAAAGTAGGTTTTAAGTAGTAAATTTTTTTATAAAATGTAAAGTAGGTTTGCACATAATCACTTAAGATATGTAAGGTTTGAACTTAGGATTACACTTTTAGGCATTTGTTAGCACTACATTCTTCAAGCCAGGTGAGAAATTCAATTACATGTTGAAAATGATTTTTAAGCATGTGTTTAAAGTAATGATTAATGACTGCATCTGATAACCTGAAAATACAAAATCTTTAGTTCTTGAAATCATACAACACCATATAAGGCAGGCTTCGACAAATACCCAGGGCCAGGTCACCATGATTACTAGAAATTCCATCATGGCACCTTGTATTTTCTCTCATTTTATTTGTGTGTAGGGCTGTGCTAAATAGAACTGAAATGTAGAACAGTTCTGAACTTTTGGAAGTCCAGAACTATTTTTGTATTCTTTAAATCCTAAATCAAACTTTGTTTCTAGGATTTTAATGGTGGATTCATGTTTTTTCATGGATGAAATGCTGAGGTTGCACAACACAGCTAAAAATAAAAGAGTTAAGGCTAGGCTTGAACCGGCCAACTTACTATTTAAATGCACGCCAGATCCTGCACGCTAGAATCCCAAATATCACACAACACCTGAATTTTTTGCAACAAAAATTAATTTCTGTAAAACATGTAAATTACTGTCTAGAACTGTAATGGCACAATTATCTTGAGAAAATTTGGGGAAAAGAAACAACCAAGGATAATCGAGAATCATGGATAATGGATGCTCAGATAATCGAGGCACTAGTGTATCCCCCATTTCCCAGTACAAACAGTAGTGAAATTAGGTTAGGCATACTTGGCTCCTGAGTTTTTGGGCTGGCTCCTACATCTGAAAATATTGGTTGAGTTCTGATGTAAGACCTCCGATTTGTTTGTGCTGTATACTTAAGTTTTGGAAAAAACAGGCTAGGCTCCAGTTAAGATGGTTTTTATTGACTTATAAGTGATTGATTTATGGAATGAGTTGCATTTTTCACTAGTGAAGGTAATCAATTCCCATGAGTAGTGGGGAACCAACAATTTTGAGAAAAATTAAGGGTTTGTTTAAATTTTTACTTTTCTTAAGAATGGGTGTGCAAGGACAGTACTGAAGGATGATATAGTTCCTTTTTTGAAACTAAAAAAATTCTGGGTTCTTACCAGACTGTATAATTTGAAGGATTTAAAGAAATGGCATCTTCAGTCAACTTGAAAGATCTTTCACTCTTTTCATCTTTGAACAGAACAGCTCTAAAGTAGTCAAAGACATCTCTAACTGCAACAACAACAAAAATATCATTTAATCAACTAGAAAATATATTTACAAAAAATTAATTATTGGTAAGACACATAACTGTTCTGTAACAGGTTTAACCTACTGTGCAAAATTTACTAAAATGTGTAGAAAATTCCTTTTACCTTATACATGTTTTATTACTTCTTTCAAAAATAAATAACAGTGATTAGCTCATATAGGTAAGAAACATCTTGGATAGGTGATATTATTATTTGTTAAAAACATATCTTCTAACAATGACTAAATAATATATAACATTTTAATAGTAATGCAATAAAAGAACCATACCTTTCTTCAACATAACAATTGTAGGACTTTTACCAGTTGATGAAGACACAGAATAATTGAAAAGTAAGAATTTGTTTGCTTTTGTAATTTGAAGAATGATTTAATTGCTATTTAGTTCATGCATTAACTGATCCATACTGATCTTTGTGAATGATGTTGCCAGTGTTTAAACATTAAAGAAGAACCTGCACTGTGTGTGTAAAAAAGAAAATGTATTTATACTGGTCATTGTGAATGATGTTGCCAGTGTTTAAACATAATAGAGGAACATGCACTGTGTGTGTAAAAAAGAAAATGTATTTATACTGGTCATTGTGAATGATGTTGCCAGTGTTTAAACATAATAGAGGAACATGCACTGTATATGTGTGTGTGTGTATCTG